AATATTTTCTCTTTCTTAATTGTTCCCTGTTGTTTATCTCAGGCTTAAACAACAGTACTCCAGAAACTGATCTATGTACAAGCATCTTCATGCCTCCCCATTATAAACTAAGAACAAACTTTTTTTTCCCCAAGACTGAAATTTGATTCTTTAACAGCTTGAATTCAATCAATTTTTCCTCAAAATCTGAGCTGCAACCTTAAATAGACCCATACCCTGTTTATATCTCAGAATTTCACTTTTAATTAAATGAGGGATTTGCTCCTATAGTTGAAAACACTTTAATAACTCCAGTGATTAAAATACTGGAGATTTAAAAGAAGGGCTGCTAAAAGAGAAAAAAAAGATGAAAAGAGGTGTGTTATGTCTACTGTATATTACTGATTTTTTCTCCTAATTAGTTTTTTCTCTATTGTTTAGGTCTGGCCTAACAATACTGAACAAGTCAGGCCATGGCTGTCAAACATCAAAAACACCTGCCAGGTTATGCCACCTCCGTATATGGACAAACACCATCTGAAATGGAATCACTGCTCAAAAATGTCCAAATATACAGCCAAGATATTGCAATGGAGTTTGGACTGGATAAATGTGCCACACTCAGGGGAAAAATAGTGAAAGCTGAAGAAATCAAGATGCCCAATGGAAATAACATCAACAGTCTGAATGAAGAAGATAACTACAAATACCTGGGCATCCTTCAGGCTGATAGCATCAAGCACCCTGAAGTCAAGTAGATGGTTATTAGTGAATACATCAGAAGAGTGAAAAAGTTCTCACAGTCCAAACTCAGTGGTGGAAATACCATCAAGGCAATTAACAACTGGGCAATTCCAATAATTAGATATACAGCTGGAATAGTGGAATGGACTTAAGCTGAACTAAAATAGGAAGACCAGAAAAATAATGACAATGAATTATGCTCTTCATCCACACAGCGATGTTGACAAACTCTACTTACCAAGAAGCATAGATAGGCATGGAATGTTGCAAGCACACCAGACAGTTGAAGAAGAAAAAAGGGCATTGGAAGAATATCTGAAGGACAGTGAAGAAGATACACTGAAGCTAGTACACCATGAAGACTTACTGAATACCAAAGAGACTAAATTGGCCTATAAGAAAGACCAAATGAAGAACAGAAAACAGACATGGGAAGGCAAAGTATTACATGGCCAGTACACAAAGAAAGTAGCAGGCAAAGCAGATAACAACAAGACCTGGCAGGAAAGTTGAAGAAAGACAGAGGGGCTAATTCTGGTTGCACAAACCAAGCCTTAAGAACAAATGCATATAAAACCAGAATTGAGAAGACGGCAACAAACAGCAAATGCTGCCTCTGCAGAGAGGCTAAAGAAACAGTGGACCACCTAGTTAGCTGCTGCAAGATCGCACAGACTGACTACAAACAATGGCATGGCAAAGTAGCAAGAATGGTGGATTGGAATATCTGCAAGAAATACCATTCGCTTGCAAGCAAGAACTGGTGGGACCACAAAACAGACAAAGTAATAGAAAATGAAGAAGCTAAAGTGGTCTGGGACTTTAGAATTCAGACAGACAAGCACCTGCCACATAACACCTCAGATTTAACAAATGTTGATAAGAAAGATTAAAAAAAAAAGTCTGGATAGTGGACATTGGAATACCTGGAGACAGCAGAATAGAAAAGAAAGAACTGGAGAAAAACACAAAACACAAAGACCCACAAAGAGAAATAGAATGACTGTGGCAAAAGAAAGCAAAGATAGTACCAATAGAAATAGGTGCCTTGGGTGCAATCCCAAAACATCTGGAGTACCACTTGAAGACCATTGGCACTGACAAAATCATAATCAGTCAATTGCAAAAGGCAGCTTTATTTGGAACAGCTTACATTTTCCGATGATACCTTTAACACCATGAAACAACATCTGCCTATTCCTGGTCCTTGGGAAGGACTCAATAGGTGGATAAAAATGCCAAATCCAGTCTAAATATCTGGCTGACTGTGCAACCAACAATAATTTATTAAATTTATATGTTGCCCAACTCCCAGCGACTCATAGCAGTTGCTATGATAATAAGAACATAATCCAGGTATAAATCCATTGGAATAATAAATCAAAAGACATTGATATAGATGAAGACATCTTTAATTCCAAATTTAAGTAATGATAACAAAAT